ATTGATGGGAGGCTAAGGCAAGAAGAGAGAAAGCCTAACTGGAGGATAGATAGACAAGTGAGCTGTGTGGACAAGGCACTTCTGGAACTGTCTTCCCACATGCAGAGGGCATTATAGTCAGTGGGTTGAGGACAGCCTGAGGACACAGAAAGCTGAGTGATGTCTCCATCTGCCAAGTAAGGGAAGAAGGGTGACCTGTGTGCATGAAAGTCCCCAGCCTCAGGAACCCCTGCCTCTTGCTAGGCATACTGAAAGATAGACTCTCCAGGGCTAGCCTGGGCTCCAAGTCTGCTGCCCGAGCCCTGAGGTCCCTGACCTTGGGCTTCACCCACAGTGGGACCTCTTCTTTCTGACCATCCATGAAACAGGCTGGCTCAGGAGTATCTCTATGGCCCACTCACCCTGAAACCTAGGCCATGGGAACCTTTCCATTCCCAAAGACCAGGCCCAGGGGTTGTGGACAGCAATAGTAGTAACTGTGGGGTTAGGCAGATAGTTCACATTCTCTGTACCCAACCAGGTGCTGTACAAGCTGGCATGGAGTGAGAGCCTGGAGAGAGACTGTGCCGCCACCTGTGCCAAGAAGTAAGGATGACCCCCAGTTTGTCCCAAACCCAGAGCCAATACCCCAGAACCCTCAGCAGCACCTCTAAGCTCCATAATTGCTGCTGCTCCCATCTTCTAGCATAGTTCCCATCCTAGTGCCCCTGCCCCATGCCCACTTATCTATCTCCTTTGTACACTCAGCCTCACTGTGGTTTCTATGTCCCCAGGTTTGCTGACCACCTGCACAAATTCCACGAGAATGACAACGGGGCAGCAGCTGGTGACTTATGGCAGTGACACCAAGGGCTCACTCAAGATAGTACTGGCTACATTCTCCATTCCTGCTTGATCAGCTGCTTCTACAAATATAGGCTTTCCCAAAAGAATCTGCCATGGAAACTGTGTCCTTGACCCAACAGCTGCCAGAGGTCCCAGGTCTCCTTGGGCCCCTTTGAAAGAATGTCACAGCCCCATGGGAACCCCAAGGTTCAGACAGCCATGAGTACCCAGCTAGGCTGGGCCCCCTGAGGTCCCTCCCTCAGGCTTGGGCTCCACCCACAGTGGGACCTCTAACCCTGGTGGCAGAAAGTCCCACCTGTGACAGATTGTCACCATCTAGCTTGGCATCCCTCAGGCTCCACTAGATTCCCACACACAAGATGGGAATGCTTTCCCTTCTAGGCCAGCAGGATTTTCATCTAGTCTCCTGGCCTGCCCGACCCCTCAGGGGACAGAGGTTAAAGGTTAAAGTCAACCTGATCTATTCACTGCTTCATCCCCATCCCAAGAGGAGGAGGAGCCTCGCAAAGAGAGGGTGGACCGGTTTCTACTACCCCTTCCCTGCCCTCAGTCCTGCATGATTGATTTCTGCTTTCTTCTTTAGCAAGGTATTCTGGTTTCTAGAATAGGAAGTCTGTTCAATAAGGCCCTTGTGCCTCAAAAGCATCAGAGCGTGGTCTGAGGGACCCCAAGACTTCTCAGTCCAGCAGAACAGGCCCTGGGCCATCACAGCAAGGCCACCCACAGGTCTTCCTCAGATTTGTATTTCTCCAGCTTTACATGTTTGAAATAAAGTCTAGTTGCAGCCATAATGGTGCCCTGTGTTCTGTGACTCCTGAGTTCTGGGACACTGAGTTTCTGAAAGACCAGTGAGTGCCTGCAGTACCACCCTCTGGAGCTTGCCTGGCATATAGGACATCTCTTCTCTTTGTTCCCAGGAATGTCATGAGTGTGTCCAAAGCTTTGCTGGAATCCAGGCCAAGAATGTCTGAGCTCACTTGAATACAGCCTCATCAAAACTGGAAATCCATTCCTTTATTCCAAAACAACCTGTTGGGCTTGGATATAATTCAGTGGTAGAGGACTTACCTAGACATCCCCAGTGAGGGACTCGGGGTATGGGTCAGTGATAGAGCACCTGCCTAGACTCCCCCAGTGAGGGGCTGGGGTGTGGCTCAGTGGTAGAGCGCCTGCCTAGACTCTCCCAGTGAGGGGCTAGGGGTGTGGCTCAAGGTAGAGCACATGACTAGGGTCCCTCAGTGAGGGGTTGGGGGAGTGCCTCAACAGCAGCATCTGACCTCACATACACAAGGTCCTGAGTTGACACTCTGTCCGTACCAAATAAATAAATAACATATACACACGTGTAATCCCAGCAGTCAGGAAATGAGGTAAGAGAATCATGACTTCAAGGTCAGCCTGAACATAACAAGACCTTTTCTCATAAAACCACACATAAAAAGCATTCATCAATCAGTTGGGCCATGACTTCAGGACTGACATGTCTCAATGGGCCTCCGTCACCTCCATATTAGCTCCTGAGGAGGCCTTCTGCTTTTCTTCCTGTGTGCCCCAGAGTACTGTCTTGAGTATGTCTCTTCCTCTTAGGCCCCAGATAACCAGATGCACCAGGGCTGAGAGCCAGCCTTTTCCCAGGAACTCTCTGGAGTCACTGTTTCTGTCTTGCCTCATCTCCTGTCTGTCCCCACTCACAAAGCATAGACTCTAGGCCACCTTTCATGTTTATTCCTGAGAATTCTACAGCTTCTGTATGGGGGGGGCTTTCCTTTGCGGGGGGTGGGTGTCTCACCATCAGCACCCCTTTATCATCTGTCCATCTGGTCTTTCTGTAAGGCCCCAAAGCCTCCTACCCTTAAAAACCCAGGTTGTACCTGACCCTCTATTCCTGTCTCCATGATTGCTCCTCTTAGCAATCACTGCCCCTCACCCCCATCAATTCAGTTCCTCCTTGTGGGTGAAACTCACCATTCCTCACTTCCTCCTATGGGGAATCAGATGAATGAATGATTGTCTTGCCCTGGTCTTCCCATCCCAGAGTCCTCTCCAGCCTCGGACAGCCTACCATCTAACTCAGGCAACAACTTAGAACCAGGTTAGACCACTGCATGCCTGACATCCTTTCTCCCAGGAGGGTGGGTTCCAGCCAGGCCACACAGGGATAAAACTTCTCCCTTACCCCTGCCCCACCCTCTTCAGCTTCATTCATAGATGTCCTGGTTCCCAGCCAACAAGCCCAATTGATATGGTTGGATTACCATCTAAACTTTTAAGAGTGTGCTAGCCAGGCCTAGAGAGGGCAGCTAGCTGGAATGTGTAGCAGGGGAGTGACCAGGTACCTGGGCCTCATCTGGGATCTAACTGGTTTCCCTGCCCCTTCCCTTGAGAGCAGAACCAAAGATGCCAGGCAGCAGGTGAGGAATTCAAGTAATCCAGTCTCCATGCCCTCTCCAGGCCCCACCTCTCCAGCGTCAACAACCCACCCCATCAGACCCCTGCTTTCCTGGGAAGTTACTGAAATGAATCCACTTCCCTGTGGGTTAAAGGACTTTACAAAGGTCAGAGACCACTGAGGGTGGGAGGAGGGAAGCACATGGAAACACTCCGGGGAGACCACTCAAGGCATGGAGGAGGTGATCCAATGTCCCTGGAGCAGGGAACAAGGAAGAGGAGAAAACTGGGACTAATGGTCTAGCCCCATGGCAGGTCACACCCCTAAGCATGCCCTTCTACATCTCTGGGTAGTTTGGGGTATTTGTTTTTTCCTTTTTTAAGACATGGTTTATGTAGTCCAGGCTAAACTAGTACTTCCTCCTGCCTCAGCCTCCCAGTGTTGCGTTACAGGCACCTGGCTCTATTTATAGGTATGTCCCCTTCTCCTCTGGCTTTCTCTGAACTTCTCTGGAGGCCCCCGGAGCCCCGCCAGGAGTCAGACCAGGAACGCCTAGTTCTGAAGCCAAGCAGGAGTGAGGAAGGAACTCAAGGCCTGGAACAAGCTCGGACACCTCCCGCTGGCGCCAGTCTCCCCGGCAGCAGAGTGGGGTTGGGAGGTTAGGACCCGTGCGTAAAAGATCCCCGCCCAGCGATGGAGGCGATTTCCCGCACCCGGAGGGCTGGAAGGAGGCAGGGGGCGTGGCGCTCGGCCTCCGCATTCACGGGAACCAGACAGACATTTCCTCCGGTTGCGACATCTGGACCTCCTCGAGGCTACCATTGTCCTCGCGGTGGAGGGGCCAGGCTAGAGCGTCCGCCCGTCTGACTCTCGTCACCCAGGGCCCCACCACGCAGGACACCTGCCGATCCTGCCCTAGGGGGCCACCATCCCAGACTCCCAGAGACGCTTCCACGCGGGAGGAATGCTGGAACCTGGCCTGGGACTGGCTACGCGGCACAGGCACCCGGGTCACGGCGCGTTCTTAACCCCTCCAGCTCCAGGACTGGGAGGTTTGAGGTCCGCCACCGCCAGCAGGAAGCCAGAGCCGGCTGCCTGCGCTGCTCCGGGGAGGGCGGGGAAGGGGCGTGGCTAGAGGGGGGCGTGGTTAGAGGCGCGGCGCGCCGAGCGCGGGTGAGTAGTGCGGCGAGGGCGGTACCTGTGCAGTGCACGAAGGGAGGGGCGTGGCTAGAGGGCAGAGGCACTTTGGGGGCGGGACTGGAACAATTCGAGCCTAATAGAAGCGTGGCTAGAGATGGAAATGAAGCTGGAGGCGGGGTCCGAGGAAGCGCGCTGCTCCGGCCACGTAGAGGACCCGGGACAGACCTGGGCAGAGGCGGTGCCAGGGGAGGAAGCAAGAACGGTGCGAGGAGGATGGGGTATGGCTACATGGGGTGTGACTGGAGGAGACGCACACTGCTCGGGCTCCGAGAACCGAGGGTTACGGGAGGGGGCGTGGCCTGAGTGGGGGGCAGGTGATGGGCGTGGCCTGGTGTTGGGGCGTGGCTAGAGACGAGCACTACTTGGGTGCGGTAGAGGGCGGAGGCAGGACCTGAGAGGTGCTGGAAAGACCGGGCGTAGCTATTTCTGGGCGTGGTCCGAGCAAAGCGAGGGTCGACGGGGCGTGGCTAGGGTTGCGCTGCCGCTGGGCTTGGGGAGGGAGCGGGCGTGGCTTGAGCTGTGCTGGGGGTGGGGCGTGGCTAGAGGCGCGCGCCTCGCTGGCTGGGGGCGCGGAGGGAGCAGCAGGGGCGCGCGCGGCGCGAGGCTGAGCTCAGAGCGCGTGGAGCGAGGCTCCTGGAGGAGCGCGAACAGCGCGGGGGTCGCGCCGCACCGCCAGGAGCTCAGGATCCTCGGAGTCTGCGGACCGAGGAAGTGGGAGCCGCAGAGACCGCCACCACCTGGTCAACAGGAGCCGCGCTCCCGCTAGGAGGGCCATGCAGCGCCCGGCCCCGGGAGCTCGGCCGCGGTCGGGGCAGCGCTTCTCTGGCGCCCCGGCACGCGCGGCCGCAGCTGCGCGCCTGTAGGTACGGCCTGCTTGTCCTCAGCTCCCTGTCCCCGAGGTCGTGTGTGTGTTTGTGCGCGCGCGTGTGTGTGCGTGTGTGTGTGTGTGTGTGTGTGTGTGTGTGTGTGTGTGTGTGCGCGCGCGCACCGCTGCTGGAGGAGCGCGGCCGCACGCGTCCGGGTCCGAGCCTGTCGTCTTTGTGTGCACCGATGGGAGGGAGGAGGACGCGCCGCCCAGGGGATGCGCCCCCGCTGAGATCGAATCGGGACCTCCATCCCGAGCAAGGTGGACAGTGATGGGAAGCTAGGGGGTGGGAGCAGCCACCTCCGGAGCAGCTGCGCCCTACTCCCCTCGGAACACCCAAGCGGGGCGGTGAGGCGAGCGCAGCTGGTCCCCTGGAGCAAGGGATCTGAGGCTGGGGGAGGGGACATTCAGGTCTCATCCGCTGCCTGGGAGGAGGAAAAAGAGGGGGTCCACCTAGAATGAGGGGCACGCATTAGGGTCTGGTGGGACCCTCATCTAGGCCCTAGTCTCCCTGCAGTCACGCCCTCCATCCGGCCCAGGCCCCCTTTCCCAAGGCCACCATTTGCACGCGACCCGCCCACACTCTGGAGCTCCACACAACCCGGGGTGAGTGGGTAGGGTTGCCGACGGTGACAGAGCTTGGCGCCTTTAAGAAGGGGCGGGTTTGTGACCTACATTCAGCCCCATTGATGAACCTGCGGGCTGCGGGAGTGGAAACCAGCTAGGATAAGCGCGCTAGCAGCGGGCTGAGGCCAGGCAGAGGCAGAGACCCACCAGCTCCCCCTGCCTCCCTCATGAACCCGCAGTGGGGTCCTCAGAGACAGAAGTGTACAGTGACTGGAACCTCTCGAGAGCTACGCAGGGTAACCCCAAGAGTGGCTGTGAATAAGCCAGAATCTAGGTTCACACGCGGTAATGCAGCGGGTGGCCTGTCAGACCCACACTAAATTGATCGCTGCCCCTTTTCAAAATTTTTTATATTTATTTCTGTGTGAGGTCAGAGGACAATTGGCAGGAGTCCGTTCTTTCCTTCCACCATGTGAGATCCAGGGACCCAGCTCAGGTCATCAAGCTTGGCGGCAAGTACTTTTACTCACTGAGCCATCTTGCCAGCCCCATCTCTGGCCTTTGAATTATCTTGTCTGTCAAATAAGAAGATGCTTCCTGCTGGGGAACCCACTGGAATTGCTCCAAGCAGGGAGCTGCTCTCCTACGTGGGCCTCAGCCAAGGGAAGTGGTTTCCCCAGAACCTTTGGGGCAGGATGAGATCTGAAGCCCCCTGCATTACTCCATCTTTAATAGATCTTTTTTTTTCTGCTCTCCCTCCCCACATAGGACCTAGGAGAGAGACCTAGAACTTTGGGCTGCAAAGATCTTTAAGAAAGATCTTACAAAAGTCCCATTAAGTTAGTGTGAGACCGGTTGTTTTTTTGTTTTTGTTTTTTGTTTTTTGTTTTTTTCTTTATTTTATGTGGGCACCTGCACCACATTGCATGTGTGGAGGTCAGAGGAAACTCTGTGGCATCAGGTTTTTTCCTTCTACCTTTAAATGGGTTTCAGGGATCACATTCATGTCATTGAGTTTGCATGGCTCCATGGCAAGTGCCTTTACCAGCTGAGCCATCTCGCCCACCCCAAGGTGGGGTTGATTTAATGGAGGCTAGGGTCTCAGGCAAGATTTTCCTCCTGTTTTCCCGTAGTCTCCTCCCTAATCCCTGGGAACCTGCCCACCCATCCCAAGAGGGTGTGAATGGTGATGGTAAGGACTATGGATGCTGCACGGAGAATAAAGAGTTAATGAACACACTTCTCTAACCCTTATTATGAAAACAATTTAAAGCTTCCAAGTCCTTCTTCCCTATTTACCGGGAGTCTCTAAGGAGGACTTGGAGCACGCACACACTTGAAAGACTGTGTTCCCTGGAGAGTGCTGGGGCGGGGGCGGGGGCGGGGGCGGGGGCGGGGGCGTCCAGCCAGGTGAAGCCTGGCCTGCCCAAAGCTGAGCCTTT